AGGGGCACACTGTGGGGTGAGGGCACACTGTGGGGTAGGGGACACCTCGAGGGGCACACTGTGGGGTGAGTGGCACACTGTGGGGTGTGGGCACACTGTGGGGTGTGGGCACCCCAAGGAGCACACTGCAAAGAAGAAGGATTGATAGCTCTGGCAAAGCTCAGACCTCAGAAGGAGCAGGGAAAGGACAGCAGCAGGCAGGGATTTGGTGCTGGGGCTGGGCCCTACCTTCAGGAAGGTGAAGGCTGTCCACTTGAGCTCCTCTGTGCCCTCAGGACACTCGATGAGGCCCACAAAACAGGCCTTCCAGATCTCCAGCACGAAGAGAGGGGAGGGGATGCGCTGTGGGGCACACACACAAACCCTCCCAGTGCTGGGCTGGCAGCAAAGCTCATCCCCCAGCCCAGCCAAAGCCCTGCTGAGGTGTTGATGGGCTCCTGCTGCTCCCCTGGAGCAGGACCAGCACAGGGAAGGCACACACATGGCCTGGCCCCACAGCCCCAGGCTGCCTGAGCAGAACCCACTGTCACTTCTGTACCTGCATCCTCTTCACCATCATCAGCTGCTCCACCAGGGGCTGGGTCTCTCCTGTGAGGTTCATGGTGCCCTCCAGCAGCACCACGGCGTGCACGGTGGGGAAGCCTGTCTTGTTCAGCTGCTCTGAGTGGACTGAGAGCATGGTGGGGATGCTGGGTGGAAGAGGACAGCCCAGGGTCACTGGAGCCCTGCAGGGACAGATTCCTGCTCCTCCTGTCCCACTCCCATCCCCTGGCCAAACCCCTGACCTTTGCTGCCCCCAGGGAGGACACTGGAACACCTGGGAGCTCCAAGGCTCAGCCAAGCCCTCAAGCCCTGGGAGTAATTCCAGGGGGATCCAGAGCAGGGACAGAGAAGCTGAGGGACAGTAAAAGGTCTCAGGGTCACCAGAGGAGCAACCCCTGGGTAAGACTCTTCTGCAATAAATCACTACTAGCTCTGTCCTCTCTCCTCTGCTGGAGCAGGGAAGGGATGGGGAAGCAGGGAGCCATTGTGCAGGAGCCTCAGAGCAGGATTTTGGGGGACTCAGAGTGAGACTCAGACCCATTTCACCCCCTGAGCCCACGGGGCAGCAGCACACAGCCACCTCTTGATAAGGGACACGCAGTCATCAGCCTGGCTCCGCAGCGGGGAGCTGCCAAGGTTGTTCAGGTTCTCTCCCAGCTTGAGCAGGGACTGCTCCACGGTGCTCCAGGAGGCTGGGGAGGGAAGGCAGGGATTCAGTGAAGGGGAATCTGGAAACCAGGCAGGCCAGCTCCAAGGCCCACAGCAGGCTGAAGAGGCTGGGAGTCCCCAGTGGTGATGCAAGCCCAACCCAGGGGTCTGTGTGGTCCCACCCCAAGCCCAGCCTGGCACAGCCTCCTGGCCATAAACAGACCAAGGCACGGGGCTGTGCCAGGCTGGGTGAGCACAGCACACCCAGGAACAGCTCCTGCAGCCTTCACATTAATTCTGCTCCTCTTCCAAAGGCAGCACGCAGGGGAGGGGGCAGAGAGTGGCACAGAGCCAGGGAGGAGCCGGTTCCAGCAACAGGGCTGGAAGATGGATGGGCCTGGAGCCGCAGGGACAATGCGGCAGGAGCCGGGCAGGGGGAAGGGAGAGGTGCCAATGACATCTCCCCAGGGCCAGCATGCAGGGACAGGGACGTACAGGCCTCCTCCAGCTTGGCAATGTGGATCAGGGCACGGTTCTTGGTGCTGCTGAGCACCTTCTCCAGCCTCTCCAGGCACATCTTCAGCTGGTTCTCTGCTGCTGCCTGCTCCAGAGGATCCTTCACCTTCTCGGCGTAGAAGGTGGCGCAGCGCAGGAGCCAGGTGAGGGCACTCAGCAGTGCCCTGCACAGGCTGATGCACTCCTCAGCCTTGCCATGGCAGCTGGGACAAGGGAAAAGTGGGAATATGCTGATTGTGAGTGTGGAAACTGAGGCACAGACACTGGGTAGGCTGGGGAACCCAAAAGGTCCTGCACTCCCAGCCCACTCCTCTGCTGTAGATCCCAACCTGCTCATCCCACCAGAATTCCTGCTGTGCCAGGGGGAAGGAGACACCCCCAGCCCCCACCGTGCAGCCTCCTCGCTGGCCTCTCCACTACAGGGAAACTTTCCAAGCTTTTAATCAAATTATCTTGCTAAGGGAGGCTCAGCATTGATCAGTGCGCTGCGAGAGGTGAACGCTTCCCCCTCCTGATGCACAAATCATCGGGGCCAGAAGTTTTGATCAAATTAAGCAGAGGATCAGAGCAGCCAGGAGAGGATTAAGGGCTGGCTCTGCAGTTGGCCAGCGACAGCTCCTTGTCAACATCTGCCACTGATGCATATTCATTGCTGCTGCTTCATTTCATCTCATTGAAGAGCCCTCCTCATCCTCCTTCTCCTCTCGCTGTCCCTGCCACACGCTCCTGCCTCCCAGAAGAGGCTGTCAGGGGTTAACAGGAAGATTTCTGAGCTTTCTAAAAAAGTTTTTGTGGCCTGAATTGTCTGGACTCCCCTGGGTCCTGCAACACCAGCGGAAAAGCATAAAGGAAAAAAACAAGGCAGTGCCTAAGGCAGGAGCAGAGTGGGACATGCAGCTGGGGCCTGGGAAGGTGCAGAGGGAAAGGAAATAGAGACCCTCAGACCATGAGTCTGACACCCACCCCATCCAGCTGAACTGGGAAGGATAAACAGTGAGATTTATCTAGAATAGGGGGGTTTTTCTGGCAGTTTCCCACAAAGCTGGTGGGGTTTGGATTCCCTCTGCTGTCCCTGTGCTGGCACTCATGAGGCAGCAACTTGGTAAGGGACACAGAGCTGGAGGGGGAACCTGCCTTCCTCTGCCAGGGTGAGTATTCTGGGATCAGACAGGACCCCCAGGCTCTGCTGGTTCCTGGTTGTGCCCATGGCACAGCCAGGGCAGAGCTGGCAGTGCTGGAACACCACACAGTACCTGAGGCGGTCACAGAACATGTCCATGATCTCCAGGAGCGACTGGACACACAAATCCCGGGAGAAGTCATCGAACTAGAGCAGGGGAACACAGAGAGGCTTCACATGGGGACTGCTCCGGCAGCTCCACACGAGCTCAAGCCCTTCCTCCAGGGCCGGGCCAGCCTCTGCGGCCACAGGACACTCCCCCTGGCAGCTGCCCAGAAGCCACTTGAATGAGAAGTAGGTCAGTGCTGTCTGTCGGCCAGGTCGTGCCCTCCCGGGGTTGTGAGAGGCGGTGGGGCCGCGGCAGCAGGGCCGGGGCTGCGTTTTCTCC